CTTTTATAAAATAGAAAATTTACCAAAATTTAGGCTCTTGGGTAAGTTATCCTTCAGATAATTGATGTCTTCCAATTTTATTGTCTTTTTTCACTTATGTAGTGTTTATGACAAAAATGATATATTTAACTATATATGTAGTCACTGAGGGTAATAATTAAGCAAAATGATACCATTCATATTATACAATAACAATAACATTTGATAATGTTATAAGCAAAGTGGCAAATTAAAATCTAAAAGATTCCAAGGGCATCATAATGTATTCCATGGAACATTATCTGAGGGATGGGCCTATGGAGGTTTGAGGGCTGGGCCAGAAATTTAGAGCAATATTCCCACTGCCTATGCATACTTAGTCACATTACAGGAAGACACCCATATCAAAGACACAACCATTCTCTCTCTTAAAACAATTTGAAGATTTCAACTTATGTGGTACAGAAAGAAGAAAAAAAATTGGTTTGAAAACTCTGAAATGAATAACAATCAGAATAGAAAAGACAGAGTCCTGACATGATTTATGCCAAAAAACAGGGACTCCCTTGCGTGCTTAGAAGGCAAATTTTTCTTTAGGTGGACCTGTTTTCCATAAACACAGTACAGTTCTTGCCTATAGAACAACTGAAACTATCCATACATATAGAGTCAAGCTTTTTTTCACTAGGAGCCAAGAAAGCAATGAGGGGAAAAAGTGGTCATTGGAAAACAGCACATTTACATAGAAAAATATTTAAAAAGAAGCCTTGACTTTTTTGCACATTATGCAATAAAATTAATTCAAAGTTCATCATAGTTATATAATATTATGAAGGCATTAGAACAATAATTTAACCTTCCACCTAATAAGAAAAGGAAGAAAAAAATTAAAAAGAGTGATTGGATAAACATATAAAAGCAGAAGTCAAAGAAATGAAAAGAAAAAATAAGGAAAACAAAGAAGCACAGTTTTCGTTAATATCCGATTAAGATAAATAAAATTGACAAATATCTGTATAGACTGATCAGGAAAATAAGAGTAAGGATACAAGACACCAATATTAGGAATTACAGTTGGAATATTGCTGTAGCCTGTATGAATATCAAAAATAGAAAGAGAAATGTCATGGAAATCTTTAGGACAACACATTCAACAGCTTAGATAAAGTAGACGAATTTATTGAAAAGATAAGCTTTCAAATAGTCAACATCTGTTAATAAATAGCCATATATCTATGAAAATTGTGTAAGTAATTAACATTGTTCTACCAAATAAACTTTAAGCTGAGGTGTTGGTGAATTATCCTAAATGCTTAAGGAAAAAAGGTATTAATTTTTTCATTCTTTGTTTTCTCAGAAGAGAGAATAGAGGGAATCACTTCTCATTCTTTTTATAAAACAAATATTACTCTGACTCTAAAACCAGATAAAGGCATTACACAGGAACTTCAGGCCTAGATGACTTCTTAGCATAAAAGAAAAAGATCTTTATCTGTATGTTAGCCCATTGAAGTCACTGATACATAAAATGGATAATATATTACAATCAAGGCAGTTTATCATAAAAATGCAAGGTTTGTTCAATGTTCTAAAAAGCAATAAAGGCAAATCACCAAGATAAAAGCTTATAGGAGAAAAATATAATGTGAACAGATTAAGAAAATACATTTGACAAAATTTAACATGAATTTATTACATAAAAGTTCAGTAAGATAAAAAATAAACACGTCTTTAACCAGATAAAATTCATCTACAAAACCTGTATGAAACATCATACTATAAAGACTGAATGATTTTTTTCTATTTTATAGGCAAGATGTCTATGTTCACACTTCCATACAACATTGTATTAGAGTTCTTAATCAGTGTGATATGAAAAGAAAAATCCTTATATTTACAGATTACAAAAGAAGTTAGCTCTTTATTCACTGCTCTTATGTGTACATGTGTAGAATATCTTAGCAAACACATAAACAGCTATAGCCAGCTATAAACAGCTATAAATGCATTTCTAGCTGAATCATGTTATAAGATCAATATGCAAAACTTAAATGTATTTCTGTATACTAAAAATAAACAATATAGAATTGAAGATAACTTATCATAACTTCAAAAACTTACACATATTAGAATGTGTTGACCAAATTTTATTAGTTGTATACAATGAACATTTAAAATATTGGTATGAGAAATTTTAAAAGAATTTAGTACATGTAAAATATATTATATTCATGTATTGGAAGGCTCAAAACTGTTATGATGTAATTTATGACCAAATAGATGTAAATATTAAATGGCGTTTTAAAATTTTAAAACCCCAACAGGCAATTGTTTTGGTAAAGAAATTATGAGATTCAGTACAAAATGTATGAAAAACAATCTTTAGGATAACAACAAAATTAAGCTATTGTAATGAAGATAGTGTTACATTGCCAAGAATAGACAAGTAATCCAATGGAAAAACAAAACTAGTGAGTTCAGAAATAGAGCTAAATGTAAAGGGTCAATTAATTTTAATAAAAAGACTGCCCAGAAGTTGCCCTACATATACGTGATCAAGTGTTTTCACTCAAAGATATTTAAGGGGATAGAAGCTAAGGTAATTTAATGGGGAAAAGAGTAGGCTTTCAACCTATGGTCCTTGAAAACTGGACTTTTTTGATTGTATATGCTAACATTTATTTACTTATTTACTTACCTTTTTGTTTTTACTTATTAATCTATTAATAATTTCAGCTATGGTTTTAGATTCAGAGGGTATATGTACAGGTTTGTGATATTGGTGAATTGCATGTCACAGCAGTTTGATGAACAAATGATTTTGACACTCAAGTAGTGAGCATATACCCCATAATGAGTTTTTGACTCTTATTCTCTTCCTACGTTCTGCCCTCAAGTAGGCTCAGGTGTCTATTGTTCCCTCTTTTGTGTCCATGTGTACTCAATGTTTACCTCCCACTTATAAGTGAGAACATGTGGTATTTGGCTTTCTGTTCCTGTGTTCATTTGCCTGGGATAATGGCATCTAGTTGCATCCATGTAGCTGTAAAGGACATAATTTCACTCTTTTATATGTCTTCATAGTAGACAGTGGTGTACATGTACCATGTTTTCTTTATCTAATTCACCATTGATGAAGATTACCTGGCAAAAACAAACTTTTAGGGAAATGGAAATGTTCTGTATCTTTATTGTGGTGGTGGTTCTAGGGGTCTATACTGTTGACAACATTCAGTTAATTGTTCAAGTATAAGGGGCATATATACACACATACACGTTTATATATACATACACATTCAATAAAGTTGATTAAAAACAAAGATGGAAAAACAATTTAAATTTGCCACTGAGTGCTCTCATTTTGCTTCCTGACAAGAAAAGTTTGAAGGCCCAGACCCTCCTTTTTATTACAAACAATCTCTGTCCCTTTTAGTTCAAGCTAGTTGTGGAGTTTTCTTTCATACAACGTTTATAAAATCTCTGTGAGTTTCCTATGAATCTGATCAGAATTCACATGATGTCCCAAAGCCAGACCCATAATTCTTTCTGAAGTAGATTCTTTGAATTGGTCCTGTATGAGATGGTTGCAGACAAGGCCCAATGATTCCTGGAAGCCCTTTTGATAACTCTAGCTGAAAGAGGCTACTTAGCGCTGCTGTCAGTCTTTGAGTCCTTTAACGTGTATCTTATAGCCACAACCACATTTCAACTGTACATGAATGCTTCTTCTATTTAGAGAATCTTCTAAGCATAAAAATATTTTTGGCCGGGCGCAGTGGCTCATGCCTGTAATGCCAGCACTTTCGGAGGCCGAGGCAGGTGGATCACGAGGTCAAGAGATCGAGACCATCCTGGTCAACATGGTGAAACCCAGTCTCTACTAAAAGTACAAAAAATTAGCTGGGCATGGTGGTGCGTGCCTGTAATCCCAGCTACTCAGGAGGCTGAGGCAGGAGAATTGCCTGAACCCAGGAGGCGGAGGTTGCGGTGAGCTGAGATCACGCCATTGCACTCCAGCCTGGGTAACAAGAGTGAAACTCTGTTTCAAAAAAGAAAAATAAAAAAAAATAATATTTTAAAATTTAATTCTCAAACCAAATTACCCCAAGTGTTACCTGTTGTTACTATATTTTACTTACCAACTGAACACCACTGAGGAAAGGATATTCTAAACAAACCCAGTCAAGAATTTCAAAGGAGTCATAGGCATCGGTGTAAATCTCCAAGGAAAAAGCCGAAATGTACTTGAACATCTGTCCTGACTTAACATAGAATTAGTGCCTTCTTCTGTAACTCTTTAATAAGAAAGAATAACTCTTAAACTATTATGCTGTACAATTTTTCTACAAAAATATATTTCTCTATAGGACGATGACCTAGGCCAGTTCAGATAGAGAAGATTAAGAGAACAAAAACATTTAGAACAAACTGTACTTTTGATTCTAGGTACATCAACCTCTTTGGGGCATTTTTGATCCCTTAATTCTATCCCCTTTTCTGACACTACCTCCTCTCTCCTGTCACCTCCCATCCACCAAATAGTCTCATGCAGTAACAGAGATTATTTTACTAGCAGAAGTGGGCTTTTTCTGACAAAAGCGAAAGTAACATAACACAGGGGTAATTTTCTTGGTGAAAGAGTACTGACAATACTTTTATCTTTCTACCTACATGGTTTAGAATTTATATCATGCTAGAATATCATTCTTTGCTTAATCTCTATTTTTTAATCAGTGCATTAAAAATATGACAAAAATACAAATTAAACAACGATAAACCAAATCACCTAATAAGGACAGAGGAAGAATGAGGGCTAGTTATTAATCTGGTTCTACTACTGTAAAAGTATGGAATATGGTGAGGGTAAAATGAAATGGCTTGGGGCAGGGCAATAGTAGAATAATGAAAGCACTGGAGAGTAGGAGAGATAAATGAAGGAAGGAACACTGTAACTTTCTCTTTGACTCTGTACTTCTTTTATGTTGTCCACTCATTTTTTTTTTTCCTTTCCTTCCTTGCAGGGAGAAGGTCACTCTGATGTGATGGAAAGGCAGAAATCAATGATGGCTGGCTCCTCAGTGATATGAGTCAATCCATCAGACAGAATGATGGCAGTCACCCAGCCTTCACAGCCACCACCACCATGCTGGCAAATGTCACATTTGGAATTCATTTGCATAGCTGGGTAGCACTCCCTGTGGAGTTACATTGAACAATTTTGCAGCTGTGACAGCTTGAAATAGAAAAGCTAATGCAGCTATCAACTTCCGCTGTGCCTTGTTTCCTTAAAATCTAGCTGGGAAATCTTGTTACAGAAAGGAGGAAGATCACGTAAAATGGAAGGGAAACTGGTGCAAAGCTTTCAGGTATTTTGTGGAGAGTATTATCAGTTACCCTGTATTTCTTGTGGGTTTTGGTTTTGTTTTCTTTTTAGACGGAGTTTCGCTCTCGTTTCCCAGGCTGGAGTGCAACGACGCGATCTCGGCTCTCTGCAACCTCCGCCTCCTGGTTTCAAGTAATTCCCCTACCTCAGCCTCCCAAGTAGGTGGGATTACATGCACCACCATGCCCAGCTAATTTTGCATTTTTAGTAGAGACGGGTTTTCACTATGTTGGTCAATTACCCTGCATTTCGAATTCAACATTCCTTACCTTTAGTTTCTGCATTCACCTCTGACTGTATTTCTCTGCTTTGCTATATTGATTGAAAAGGATAGTACTGCTGGGTTCATTAATAAGTACATTGCCTTTCCCCAGTGGGAGAATGAAGACTTAAGTAACTTTCCTGAAGTTCAGCAATATGACAAAATTGTTTTACATTTCTATTTTTAAATATTTTCTTCTATTTACAGTATATTTCTCTCTTTACCTGTCTCTTCCTTGCCCATCTCTCTCTCCTTCCCTCCCTCCTTCCCCTTTTCTTTCTCTTTCCACAGGTACACAACCACATACATACACTTACATAGAGCCATGTGGGGTAATGCATTGTGGAATTAGGCCTTTGACTAATTAACATTTTTACTTATAGAAAGAGTAAGCAGTAATACAGTTCGATGTGTATTTATTTAATTTTTAAAAATTTATTACTGAAGTACAGCTTATATACTTTTCAATGCAAAGATCCTAAGTATACTAATAAGTTTGCCAAAAGTATATTCACCCATGTTACCTACACCCATGATAAATTTTATAGTTTTCTTCACCCTAGAAAGTTCCTGCATGAGCTTGTCTAATTAGTTAGTTCACCCAATTCTCATAGCCACTGCTCTGATTTCTGTCACCACAGATGAATCGTTCCTGTTCTAGCATAAATGGAATGTAGGATAGATGTCAGTGGAATGTATACAATGTGTACCCTATCTGCCTGTTTTTCCAGTACCCTCAGCAAGAGTTAACTCTCAAACTTGTCCACAGTGAACCTCCGGCAATCTGTCAACTGCAGTTAAGGATTTTCTACCCCCAGTCCTGGATCCCACAGTTTTGTTCCTGGGATTCTGCTCCAGGATCCCGTGATTCTCTACATCTACCTATCTTCCTCTTCAACATTTCAGTCAGTTTTTCACTTTGTGACCTCATGTATCCTCACCTCATGGTTCTAAGAGGAGTGGTCATTTTTTATTTTTTTTCTCAACTTTTTGTTGTTGTGAAATTGCAGTGACGACTTTCAAACTTCTGACATTCCAGACCAGAAACCAGAAATCTCTCAGTATTAATTCAATCATTTAAATTTATTGACTTAGTTTATTGCTCCTTTAGGGTTTTATTTTTTCTTTATTTTGAAGCTCTATAATTTGATAAATAAATGGTTATTGTTTATATGCTTTCCTGATGAATTAGCAATTTTATGATATTAAAAAATGGCCCCCTTTATTTCTGATGATTTTTATCTAGAGTTATAATTTGTCTGAGATTCATGACAGCTACCCAGGTTTTCTCAGGCTCAATACTTGCATGTCATATAATTTTTCACTCTTTTACTTTAAACCTTCCAATATCTTATATTAAAAATGCTTCTTATAAATTACACTTCGTGTTTCGTTGGTTTTATCTCTTTTGATTTTCGCCCAGGCTAAAAATGTCTGCATTTTATTCAGGCTATTTAGTCCATTAATTTTAATGCAATTATTGGTTATTTTACACATTCTCTCTAGATAAATCGAGAATTGTTTTGGTATCATTTCTAATATTCTCTATTTGCATTATTGTTTCACCTCTGCATTATATTTTTAATAGTAGTCCTAAAGATTACAATACACATACTTAACTGATTATAGTTGATTATGCTAATAGTTACTTATCATTAACTTCCTTGATAATTTTTGTTTTTATTGATGCGTATTTTACTTCTTCACATATCATAAGCCATATCATACATGACTATTTTTATTTTGTTTTGCCTGCAGCTCTGGGTTTTCAATCTGGTATAATTTTCCTTGAATAACTGTTTTCAGTATGTCTTGTATCCAGTCTATTTGGGGATACATTTTCTCAATGTTCAGTTACCCAAAATGGTCTTTTTTTAACTTTATTTTTTCAAAGATGTAGATTCCCATACTACGTTCTCATTCTTAAAGCTCTTTAACTTAGGTCTTTACAGTTTCTTCTGGATGAAGCACTCATAACATATATGAATGTATATGTAATAAAATGCTTATAAAATAACAGAGAATACATTAGCCTAACCGTATCTGAGAAATGTTTCTAAGTTTCTGTTAATATAGTATGGAGTCAAAAACATAGATAAGCAATCATACACTTTTATACTTCAGCTGTTGCTTTTTTAAGTTGAGCTATACTTTTAGTTCATTTTCAACTTTAAACTTTGTAGAAATAATGGGCTTCTTGTGATGTGTTAATCATTTTCCTCTTTATGTGTTTTATAAGAATAGTAAGAAAGATAAAAGGTTTTTTCACATACAGCACTATAGATTTGACTGTTACATTTATTATTAAGTTGTAATATTAAGTGGTTATTCTTTTCAAAAAAAATCATAAACTGAATTATTTATCAGTGAAACTTATCTTTACATAAATAAAATAATGTATTACATGTTATGCATATTTAAAAAAATAAGAAATGCATAGCCATATGTTTTTATTATTTTAGAATATATTCACATGATATAGAAACATTGGTTAAAGACAGTAAACATTCTTCATTAAAAAGGAACCTACAAAAACATGTATTAGTTTATTACTTTGGGAAAACTTGGTTGGAGACAAATTGAAAACCTTAACAGTTGTTTTCGCTTTCCCACCTGTACTTCAATGCTCTTCATTAAGCCTTGTTGCTACAACTAAATGAATTCCATATCACGTTTATTGACTTTTTCAAAAGCAAGTAAACTATAATTTTTAAAGTATATACTATATGAATTTGTTCCTACCCCCAATACAAGAGGTTAATTGGGAGAGCAAACAGGACTAACAGTGGCAGCATGTAAAGCAATTGGACCTTAGAGTGCCAGCTATGCCCAAAAAGGACAAAAGTATTGTCCTTCTGTAACCACAGCTCAGTCTACTGTCAATGAGTCTTGGGTAGTAAAAGAATATCCTTTTATAGGGCCATTACTCCTTACTGTAGTCCATGTTCCATGTATCCAGGACCACAGCCCTCACCAAATGACCACAGCCTAATTGTTTTGCCAATATGGGCCTTTTCTTCTCCTAAGGGCAGACCATATTACTCACGGATTTCACCTCAGTTCCATTGGTGCTTGACTCTTCAGTGGGTCAGCTTGGGTATACAGGTGCGTATTCCATGTGCACACACATAATACTCCTTACAGTGCAGCTGAAATGTGAAAATAAGACAAGTTTGTGTTAAACCATTGACTTGGGGAAAATCTCTGAGGAATCTCAATTTTACCCTAGTTGTTAGGAAGATATATTTTTTAAGGTAGAAGGATAGAGAATATTTTATGTAACATTCTGGTGGCTTGAGTTGTAATCTTTTAATAAGTATACATATTAAATATGAACTTAGTAAGTCTCAGCAATGGTAGGGGCCTGAATGAAAAAAAGACTGTCAATCAAGAATACTATATACAATAAAGCCATCTTTTGGAAATGAAGGAGAAATAAAGTCTTCCTCAGACAAGCAAAAACTGGGGGAATTTGTCACAATGAGACCAATCCTACAAGATATACTAAAGGAAGTACTACCTTTGGATGAAAAAGTATAGAGTCTGCAATTATGAAAACACACAAAAGTATACAACTCACTGTTAGAGCAGATATAAAAATAAGAAAGAGAAAAGAATAAGTTGTCACTACAGAAAAACCAACAAATAGCAAAGATAAATAATAAGAAAGGAAGATAAGAATGAACGATATACACAAAGCAACTGGAAACTAACAAAATGATGGGAGTAAATCCTCACCTACCAACCTTGAACATAAATGGTTTAAATTCCCTAATTAACAGATATAGACTGGCTGAATGGCTGCCAAAACAAGTCCCAACTATATGCTGCTTACAAGAAACTTATCTTACCTGCGAAGACACACAAAGTAAAAGTGAAGGAATGGAAAAAGATATTCCATGTAAATGAAAAACAAAAAGAGTGCAGAAATAGCTATCCTTATATTAGACAAAATAGATTTTAAGTGAAAAAAATAGACAAAGATAATTATTTTATAATAATAAAGGGATCAATTCAGCAAGAATATAAGGATTATAAATATGTATGCACCCAACCACAAATTATCAAGATATATATAACAAATATTATTAGAGCTAAAGAGGGAGATAGATCATAATATAATGATAGTTGGATACTTGAGCACCACACTTTCAGCATTGAACAGATATCTAGACAGAAAATCAATTAAGAAATATAAGACTTAAACTGCACTATAGACCAAAAGGGCCTAACAGAAATTTACAGAACATTGCATCCAATAGTTGAAGAATACACGTTCTTCTCATTAGCACATGGAATATTGTCCAAGATAAATCATGTTTTAGGACACAAACAAATCTCAACAAATATAAAAAAATCAAAATCTTATCAATTATCTTCTCAGGCCACAAGGAAATAAAACCAGAAATAAATAGCAAGAGAAACTCTGGAAACTGTATACATGTGGGAATTAACAGGCTTCTGAACAATCAATGGGTTCATAAAAATAATTAAAAAGGGAATCAAAAAATTTGTTGAAACAAATGAAAATGGAAACACAACATACCAAAACAGTTAGTGCAAAATCAGTAGTAGAAGTAAAATTTATAGCAATAAGTCCCATATTAAAAAAATGGAAAATTTGAAATAAACAACCTAATAATGCTCATAAAAAACCTAGAGAAACAAGAACAAACCAAACCCCAGAATTACTCAAAGGAAACAAATAATAATGATCAGAG